TCAATGTCATGAGACAAAGTATATGTGAACTGCTGTATGGAAAGTGAATTTTCTCTGTAAATCTTCACCCAAATCACAATAAATAATAATAATAAAAAAGAAATACTTGTAAATAGAAGAATCACAGTGATGTTTATCAGGTTAGAAACTGGAAATGGCCTTTAGACCCAGTAAGGAATTTGGCTGAACAAATTGCACAGTTCTGTACGTGCTGCTGCTGTCAGGTGCCTTTGAGTCAGTTCCAACTCATAGTGACCCCGTGTACAACAGAATACCGCCCAGTCCTGTGCCATACTCACAACCGTTACTGTGTTGGAGCCCACCATAGCAGTCACTGTGTCAATCCATCCAAGGGTCTTCCTCCTTTTCTCTGATCCTCTAGTTTACTAAGCATGATGTCTTTCTCCAGGGACTGGTCCCTCCTGAAAACATGTCCAAAGTACGTGACACAAAGTCTCGTCATCCCTGCTGCTAAGGAGCATTCTGACTGTATGTCTTCCAAGACAGATCTGTTCCTTCTTCTGGAAATCCAAGATAATTCAATATTCTTTGCCAATACCATCATTCAAATGCATCAATTCTTTTTTGATCTTCGTTATTCATTGTCCAGCCATCACATGAACATGAGTTGATTGAAAATACCATGGCTTGGATTGGGTGCATCTATGTCCTCAAAGTGACATCTTTGCTTTTTAACACTTTAAAGAGGTCTTCCATAAAAGGTTTTCCCAGGGCAATATGCCATTTGATTTCTAGACTGATGATTTCATTGGTGTTGACTGTGGAGTCAAGTAAAATTAAATCATTGACCACTTAAATCTTCTCCATTTATCATGATGTTGTTTATTGGTCCAGTTGTGAGAATTTTTACCACATTTTTTTGGCGAGGTGGCAGTTGAGGTATAATCTATACTGAAGGCTGTACTCTTTGATCTTCATCAGTAAGTGTTTTGCTTTTGGCAAGCAAGGTTGTGTCAATTGCTTGTTGCAAGTTGTTAATGAGTCTTCCTCCAATCTTGATGCCTCATTCTTCTTCATATAGTCCAGCTTCTCAGATTATTTGCTCAGCACACAGATTGAATAAGTGTGGGGAAAGGACACAACCCCGAGGCACACCCTTCCTGATTTTAAACCATGAAGCATCCTCTTGTTCTGTTTCAATGACTGCCTCTTGGTCTATATATGGGTTCTTCATGAGGACAATTAAGTGTTCTGTAATTCTCATGCTTAATGTTATTTGTAACTTGTTATGATTCTCACAGTTGAACTCTTTTGCACAGTCAACGAAACACAGCTAACCGTCTTTCTGGTATTCTTTGCTTTCAGTCAGGATCCACCTGACATCAGCAATGATATTCCTCATTCCACATCCATGGCTGAATCTGCCTTGGATTTTTGAGTGTTCTTTGTCGATGTACTGCTTTAACTGTTTTTGAATTAGCTTCAGCATAATTTTATTTGCATGTGATACTAATGATATTGTTCAATAATTTCTACTTTCCATTGGTTTACCTTTCCTTGGAATGAGCACAAAAATGGACCTCTTCCTTCTTGGCCAGGTAGCTGTCTTCCAAATTACTTGGCATGATGAGTTAGTGTTTCCAGCATTGTCTCCATTTGTTGAAATATCTCAATGGGTCTTTTCTCAGTCCCTGGAACCTTGTTCAATTTAGTTTTTTCCCAATGCCTTCATGCAGCTTGGACTTCTTCCTTCAGTACCTTCAGTTCTTGACCCTATGCTGTCTCCGGAAATGGTTGAATATAGGCCAATTCTTTTTGGTACAGTGACTGTGTGTATTCCTTCTATCTTCTTTTGATGCTTCCTGCATTGCTCAATATTTTGCCTATCCAAAAACCAAACCAAACTGACTGCCATCGATTCAGTTCCAACTCACAGTGACCCCTGTCATGCATGGAGGTCATACATGGGACCTCCATCCTCGTTTGGGTCTCAGGCACTCTTTCTTGATTGTCTAAGAAATAGTTGATGTGACTGGATGCAGGGCAATAACAAAAAGCCTCAATAAAATATGTGCTGGCCAAGAAAGACTGCCCAGTGTAAGAACAAACTAACTTAGAATATAATCAGAATTCTACATAATTTTGAACAATTTCTCTTAATTTCAAGTAAAGAGTCAATTCCTCAAACATATATCTGCTCATGAAAATTTCCAGGAGTAGGAGAATGTCACCTTTGTTCTCTATAATATCCACCAGAAAAACAGATTCCCTTGATTCCACAAATGCAAACTTCAGAAACTGTTCATTCTTTTCTAAGGCCATATGCTCATCTTGGGTACCGAGATCAATGAAAACAAATACAATGTTACATAATTTCCAAAGGAAATCATTGGACTTTGACACCTCAGATTCAGAAATTCTGAAGTAAAAATAAACATGAATTTTCAAACTGGGAGTGTTTGGGAATATGTTTCTCACATAAATATTTGGATAGAAAATGAGAGACACTGGTATAGCACTTATAAAATGAAGTTAAATGTAAAATAGGGGCTCTGGTAGTGTAGTGCCTAAGGCACTTAACTGCTAACCAGAAGGCTGGTGGGTTTGAACCACTCCTTGGAAGGAAGGTTAGGCAATCTACTTCTGTAGTGATACTGCCTCTGAAACCCAAGGCGGGGTTGCTTTGAGGTGGGTCTGACTCTACAGCACATAAAAACAACAAAAAATGTAAAATATGTCTCATAAATAATACAAAGTTTCCATCAAATGGACAAATTCCAAGAAACCAGAAGGAAATACTCCAAACATAATATTTATTGAAGAGATCAAATAGCTTTTGTTGAAGACATTGTTTGAAGGGGGAAAAGGGCTTAAAACAGGATAAGAATGCAACACACTTTATTGATTTCCCTGGCTTTCTCAGTACCTGAATCATTTGCTTCTCTCAAGGAATATGCAAAATACCACACAGAAATTTAATTTCATGTAGTTTAGCAATATGATAGAAACATGTTTATCTTAAGAAGTAAGGAAAGGACACAAAATAAGATTTGGCTGAACTATCCAAAGAGAACAAAGAAAGTGACAAGACTGTTAAT